TTTTAAACACTTTGCCATATTTTCAGACCACCTACCACATTTTCATTTATCTTGCTGGAAATCACCTAAGAAGTTTCACTTCAATAACAACTCTGCACATTTTCAAATAAATATATTTAACAAATCTTACAAAAATATCATTTTACATAAATTAATATCACATCTTAGCCATAAAGTTTAGCGACATGCTGGGCAACCACAACAAAAGCTGCCATCGTTCCTGGCAAACCGGCAAAATAGAACTTGGTGGTGGATTGAAACCGCCAGAACCGCCTCCTGGTAACTCGATGGTATAACTGTAAGGCGCTTTGCCTACTGCCAAGGCGTAGTCGTCACTTCCACCGGCTGCGGCGTAGAGGACGTTCGTAGAACTTCCAACTGTATACCTAGATAAAAAAGGGTTAAGGGTTAAAGGGTTAAGGACACAGTTTGAGAAATTTGTACAAATGAAATTATCTAAAATATTGTCTAATATTATAACACTGTCGAGCTACTCGGTGTACTTTAAATCGACGTTGAAATATGTCACCAGCGTACCTTTTTTATTTTTAGTTTTGCTCGTCAGTAGAGTCCCTTTTTTAATTCTAGATTAAGTTTGCTCGTCAGTAGAGTCCCTTTTTTAATTCTAGATAAAGTTTGCTCGTCAGTAGAGTCCCTTTTTTAATTCTAGATTAAGTTTGCTCGTCAGTAGAGTCCCTTTTTTAATTCTGGATTAAGTTTGCTCGTCAGTAGAGTCCATTTTTAAATCTAGATTAAGTTTGCTCGTCAGTAGAGTCCCTTTTTAATTTCTAGATAAAGTTTGCTCGTCAGTAGAGTCCCTTTTTTAATTCTAGATTAAGTTTGCTCGTCAGTAGAGTCCCTTTTTTAATTCTAGATTAAGTTTGCTCGTCAGTAGAGTCCCTTTTTTAATTCTAGATTAAGTTTGCTCGTCAGTAGAGTCCCTTTTTTAATTCTAGATTAAGTTTGCTCGTCAGTAGAGTCCCTTTTTTAATTCTAGATTAAGTTTGCTCGTCAGTAGAGTCCCTTTTTTAATTCTAGATTAAGTTTGCTCATCAGTAGAGTCCCTTTTTTTAATTCTAGATTAAGTTTGCTCGTCAGTAGAGTCCATTTTTCTTTAAATTTTTAGTTTGCTCGTCAGTAGAGTCCCATTTTGTTTCATTTTTAACTTCCCGTAGGGCAAGTTATAGTAATCGCAAAAAAATCGAAAATGAAAATTTTTGCATTTCTCGACGTTTCAAAGGTTTCTGAATATTTTGGCATACCTTAGAAAAAAAGTGATGTATGTGTGTGTGTGTGTGTGTACGTATTTGCGTGTGTGTATGTATGTGCGGATACAAATTTTCGTCGACGATTTCGGGAACACGGATCAACCGATTTGAATAATTCAAAAAACATTCGACTTGTATTGATAGGGAGACGTGCTGATTAGTTTCTGGCGAAGGCAGGTCTAGCCGTTCCGAAGATACGGGGCAAAAAGTGCCGAAAACGGTAACTCAGTTTTTTAGAGAACGGATCGTCCAATTTGAATAATTCAAAAATCATTTTACTTGTATTGACAAGATGAAGATTTGATCAAATTTTTGGAAAGGCAGGTCCAACGACTTTGGAGATATGGAGAAAAAAGTAAAAAAAATGAGCCATTTGGCGGACAAAAATGAACATTAGACATATGCACATCAAATTATCAGATGTTTTATAGAGATTTCAACAATAAGTATAAATTTTGTTTACATTCCTATGGGTTCCGTACCAATGTTTACGCGTTAGACGTCGACGCGGCGCTTACGCGCTTCGATATTTTGTTTCTATGCAGTAACAGCAGTACGATTGCTTTGAAAAAAGTTCAGAATTTCCAAAATTATTCAAAATAAATTTTTGTTCAAAAAGTCTGTTTTTCCTAAAAAAGGAAATTTTTGACAAAAATGTATAGTTTCTCAAAAATCTAACTTTTTCAGAGTAATTTTTTTCAAAAATGTTAATCTTTTTAAAAAAATAGTTTTTTTAATAACGATGCCATGCGCCCCACTAGTTCAAAAATTAAATTAATTACTAAGCACAGTCTAAGTGACAACCCAGTACAAAAATTTTCGCAAGTGCGTTTTGAACGTGACTATACGGGAGCGTTTTTATAAATTTTGTGAAAACTATTGAAAAATGTGAAAATGCCGCCTAAGAACAGTACAAGTGAAAATGTCGCACGAAATTATTTGCAAATGCGTTTAGACTGTGACTATATAGCAGCACTTTTCCAATTTTATGTAAAAATAAAAATGTAATTTTGAGTTAATTTTTTTTTTAAAAAAATTAAAAAATCATCCAGGCTAAGCACAGTCTAAGTGACAACTTGGTATAAAAATTTTCGCAAATGCGTTTAGATTGTGACTATGCGGGAGCGTTTTTATAAATTTTGTGAAAACTATTGAAAAATGTGAAATTAGTTAATTTTATTTGTTATTATTTATTAGTTAATTTAATTTATTTTATTCAAAAAATTAAAAAACTACCCAGACTAAGCACAGTCTAAGTGACAACCGAGTACAAAATTTTTTGCAAGTGCGTTTAGAATGTGACTATGCGGGAGCGGTTTTATAAATTTTGTGAAAACTATTGAAAAATGTGAAAATGCCGCCAAGCTAAGTACAGTATAAGTAGAAATGTCGCACGGAAGTATTTGCAAATGCGTTTAGACTGTGACTATGCGGAAGTACTTTTTCAATTTTATGAAAATTAATCGAAATGTTAATACGGGTTAAATCTATTCATTATTTATTAGTTAAATTTATTCGTTTAATTTAATTTATTTTATTCAAAAAATTAAAAAACTACCCAGACTAAGCACAGTCTAAGTGACAACCCGGTACAAAAATTTTCGCAAGTGCGTTTAGAACGTGACTATACTGGAGCGTTTTTTTTTAATTTTTTTAAATTGTAAAATCTATTGGAAAAAAATTTAAAATTATTAAATACACCACTAGTTACCTCGTTCCGATGACTCCCTGTATGGCACTCGCCGCCTGTCTGCCCAAAGCGTCTAGGTCCTTCCAGTTGTCGGGAAGGGCCGAAGTGTAGCCCCAAGGGTACAAGAAGTACTGGCCATAAGTATGTATTGTCAGGTACAATTTAACATTGGAGCGGAGCAGGAGGTCTCTCAAGGCGCTGGTTTCGGGTTCTGAGAAGGGTCTGTTACCGGCGAAGGTGTCTGAACAAGGGCTGTTACTGGCACCGACTTCCATCCAGTGAAAATCGAAGTTTCGGTTACCGTCTGTGCCCATGCAGCTTGACCCTTGGTTCTTGCTTCGGGTCTTTCTCCAGAAACGATCCTAAGGGATAAAGGGATTTGCTTGTCAGTAGGGTCCTTTTATCAATTCTAGATTAAGTTTGCTCGTCAGTAAGGGATAAAGGGTAAAGGGTAAAGGACACTGTTAGTTGTTACTAGGTGTTTGCGCCAATCAAAGCATGCGGTTATATTAATATACTAGTGGGGTGGGTGGCATCGTGCCTTAAGGCAAATTGCTGGAACTTCCCGTACCGTAACGAAATGTTCGAGGAGTACTGAATGTTTTCAAATAGATTATTATAAATATTGTAACATTGTCTAATATTTATAAGAATTATATAAACCGAATTGCAAAGTTGAAATTATTTGTTTCAACAAAAACTAAAAAAAAAAATGGAACAAAATTTTTTTTCCAAAATCAATTATTTTGTTAAGACAAGCAGAAAGTTTTTTGAATCATTCAATCGGACGCTTAGTTCTCTCAAAAACTGCCATTTTTTACATATTTAGCTCCGTATCTTTGAAATGGCTGGGCCTGCCTTTGCCAAAAACTAATAAACACTTCTTCCAATCATTACTAATTGAATGTTTTTTAGATCATTCAAATCGGATACTCCGTTCTCTCAAAAATTCGATTTCTATTTTCCGCACTCTTTGCTCCGTATCTCCGAAACGGCTGGACCTGCCTTTGCCAAAAACTAATCAGCTCTTTTCCCTATCAATAGGAATCGAATGTTTTTTGAACCATTCAAATCGGTTGATCCGTGCGCCCTAAAACGTGACTGGAAATTTGTATCCACACATACATACACACATACACACACACACACACATCCATTTTTTCTGAGGTATGCCAAAATGTTCAGAAACCTTCAAAACGTCGAGAAATGTAAAAATTTTCAATTCCGATTTTCGGCCCATTTTAATAACTTACCCTACGGGAAGTTAATAAACAAAAAATCATCAATCGAAAATCATACAAATAAATCAAATCAATCAAAAACAGTATTAAAATTATTGTAAATACACTTATAACTTGTTATTAATATAAAATAAATATTAAGTTGTCAAATATCTCCCTTCCGCCTTTTTGTATTATAAACCATACAAAAAGGCGGAAGGGAGATATTTTACAACCGAATATATACAGTTATAATCAAAGTATTTACAATTGGTCCTTCAAAAGGCAAGCAATCACAACAACCATCCTAAAAAACACTAGGGTTTATACAAAAACTGACATTTCAGAAAACCGGTTTTCGAATTTTAATTTTACTAAAAAACCGGTTTTAAGTCCCTTTTATATATTTTAGCTTTTGCTTGTCAGTAGGGTCCTTTTATCAATTCTAGATTAAGTTTGCTCGTCAGTAGAATCCCTTTTTTATTTCTAGATTACGTTTGCCCGTCGGTAGAGTCCCTTTTTTAATTCTAGATTAAGTTTGCTCGTCAGTAGAGTTCCTTTTTAAATTTTTTAGTTTAAAATGAAGTTTGCTCGTCAGTAGAGTCTCTTTTTTCATTTTTTAGTTGAAAATTAAGTTTGCTCGTCAGTATAATTCCTTTTTTAATACTAACCGGTTTTCGAATTTCATATAGAAAATAAATTTTCGCTCGAACATTCTGTAATTTATCCGCAAATTTAGTGTAATTTAGAGCAGTATTTGACTGAATTTATTTATTGTTCAATTTTATAGATAGTAAACAAAATTATTTTAACTTTAATCAAAAGAACTAAAAAATAATAGTTTATCTTGATTAACTTAATCTAGAATTAAAAAAGGGACTCTACTAACAAGCAAACGTAATCTATAAATAAAAAAGGGACTCTACTGACGAGCAAACTAATATAGAATTAATAAAGGGTCTCTACTGACGAGCTTAATAAATTTTGTGAGAAAAAAAAACTATTGAAAAATGTGAAAATGCCGCAAAGGAAAGCACAGTATAAGTGAAAATGTCGCACAGAATTATTTGCAAATGCGTTTAGACTGTGACTATGCGGGAGCACTTTTTCAATTTTGAGTAAATTAGAGACTACTAACTATTTTTTTTGAAATTGAATTCGAAATGAAATGACGATTGTTAATGTTCTAGAGATAAATTGATTTATGATTTACATTTGATTTGCTCAGATATAACAAGATGGCAAAACAAGATAGGAAAACGTTTTAATATTCCTCGAGCATTTCGTTACGGTACGGAAAGTTCCAGCAATTTGCCTTAAGGCACGATGCCATACGCAACTAGTTTTATTTTAAAATTTGATTTTTTTTTTAATTTTCAAACAATATTCTTTTAATATCAAAAATGATTTGGATATAAATTATTTCATTATTTAATTATTAATTTCAGATAAATAAACTACAGAAATGTAATTTTAAGTTAAAAATTCAATAAAAACTACCCAGACTAAGCACAGTCTAAGTGAAAACCTGGCGCAAATATATTTGCAAGTGCGTTTAGAATGCGACTTTACAGGAGCGTTTTTTCAATTTTTTAAAAACTATTGAAAAATGTTAAAATGCCGCCAAGTTAAGCACAGTATAAGTGAAAATGTCGCATAGAATTATTTTGCAAATGCGTTTAGACTGTGACTATACGGGAGCACTTTTTCAATTTTAATCGAAATGTATATAAGAATGAAAATAATTTTATGATAGTGAAAGGAAAGTTTCCAAACCGGTTTTTGAAAACCGACAAACCCTAGTTGTTACTACTTATCGTTTATCATTTATCATTTATCATCTTACCCCAGTGTGGGAGTATTCGTATCCATCAGGATTCAAAACAGGAATGATGACCCAATCTAATTTCGTCAATAATGATGTTCGGCCGTTTTCCAGAATTTGGTCGATCAAGTACAAGGCGGTGGTTGGTGCCAACCATTCTCGGGCGTGGATGGCAGCGTCCATAACCACAACCGGTTTGCTACCTAAAATCAAAAAAAAAAAAAAGGTTTACACGCGATTGAAGTAAAACTTATTTGCTACTGTACAAAGTAGCAAATTTAAGTTAAAATAAATACATCATGTAACAATTTTGAACAATGTTTATTAGTAATATGGTAACACTCGTGATGCACACTTTTATTAGTGTCGTCAATCATTATACACATTTATATAATGATAAATTATATATTTATGATTGCATTAAAAATATGTATAATATTTATAAAACAATAATGTAATTAAAGTTATACTTCAAATATGATATGATCGGTTTGTCATTGTAATTAGTATTTACGACTTGAACATTCATTAGAGAAATGAAGTAATTGCTGATTAATAAATTCTATAATATTCGTTTACACAGTGGATTATGTTCAACAACGCCTAAACAAGTATTGTTTTTGCAACTTCACTCATCATTTAATAATTGTGCTTGAAGAACTTCATGTAATTAAAATTAACATACATTCATTGACTGTTTGTATTTTTTTTACTTTTTTGCTTGCGATATAATATCATTATTTGAACCGCTGTGATATCTGTTTTGCCCAAAAAATATTTTCCATTTTAATAACTTCTTTAAGACTTATAGAAACTACAAGTCCATTTTTGATTTTATTTTTAGTTTTGCTCGTCAGTAGAGTCCCTTTTTAATGTTATTTTTAGATTGCTCGTCAGTAGAGTCCCATTTTCTTTAATTTTTAATTTAATCATCAGTAGAGTCTCATTAAATTTTATTTTTATTTTGCTCGTCAGTAGAGTCCCTTTTACCTTTAATTTTAATTCAGTAGAGTCTCTTTGAATTCTAGATTAGTTTGCTCGTCAGTAGTGTCCCTTTTAGAGTTTTTACTTTTTGCTCGAAGTCTTTTTAGTAATTTTCTATTCTATCCGTCAGTAGAGTATTTTTAATAATTTTCCATCCTTTGCTCGTCAGTAGAGTTCCTTTTTGTATATTTTAGGTTTTGCTCGTCAGTGTAGTCCTTTTATTAATTTTCCAACCTTTGCTCGTCAGTAGAGTCCTTTTTTGTATATTTTAGGTTTTGCTCGTCAGTAGAGTCCATTTATTAATTTCCCAAGCTTACTGAACTCTACTGACGGGCAAATTAAAAAACAATTCAGAAGATAAGAAGGGACTCTACTGATAAGCAATTTAAATGGCATTGTGAGAAAGAACTCTACTGACGAGCAAATTAAAAAACAACCTAGAAGATTAATATAGAAATATTTTATAACGAATAATATAGAAATAATTTTTAATCAATAAACTTACGTTTATTACACGGCACAAATGTTTAATATGTTTTATTATTTTCAAGGAACTGGGTAAAATACTCTTCTGATTCGGGCATTTTTCATTAAATCAAGATTTGTACTACGATGTAACCTCAAAACTAATAACATTCCAATTTCCTTCTTGTATCCTTACGCATACAACGTTGATGCCGGTACGCATACAACGACAGATCTCTATTCACATACACGACGACTAATAACAATCGACCCGTACTGAAATGATATCATCGAGAGCGAATGACGAATCATTGGCACTCGGCTCTTATCTTATTTGTACGGATTTACACCCTAGTCGCGCCTAAAGAAGTTTTACTTCAACAAGATATTAGGAGAAAAGGATCACTTGATTCAATGTATTTATATGGGGGGAACAGGAGCCCTTGATTGAATGGATTATAAATCCTGGACAAACCGAATTAAAGTCTTGCTTATATTTATTTACCGTTTCCTCCGCTGGATAAGCGCAGCGCTTTGATCGGTCTTCCTTCGCTGGAAGTTCCGATGGTTTCGACCTTGGCTAAATCTGGGTGTTTGGATGCCATTTCGCTCAAGTATTGTTGGATCTGGAAATAATATTAATAATGAGATCTAAATAGACGTATAAATCAATATATAATTTTTTTAACGTATAAATCAATATATAAATGTATATATTAATTTTCACAAAAAATCCCATGTATAAATGTATGTTCCGTGATGAATAAATGAAAATATAAAAGTACATGTATATATAGATTTTCCTTTAAAATTTCGTATATAAATCTACATTTCGTGGTGTATAAATAAATATATAAAAGTATATATAGATGTTTCTTCAAAATCTCGTGTATAAATAAATATATAAAAGTATATATAGATTTTTCTCTAAAAATCTCGTATAAAAATGTACGTTTTGGGGTGTATAAATAAATATATAAAAGTATATATAGATTTTTCTTCAAAATCTCGAGTATAAATAAATATATAAAAGAATATATAATTTTTTCTCTAAAAATCTCTTATTGTGGTGTATAAATAAATATATAAAAGTATATATAGATTTTTTTTCAAAATCTCGTGTATAAATAAATATATAAAAGTATATATAGATTTTTCTCTAAAAATCTCGTATAAAAATGTACGTTTTGGGGTGTTAAAAATGATATATAAATGTATATATTGATTTTTCTCTAATAAAACTCGTATAAAAATGTACCTTTAGGGGTGTATAAATCATATATAAATGTATATATTGATTTTTCTCTAAATCACAATAATTTTTCTCAATCTCACATATAAACGTGTGGTTTTTGACGTATAAATCAATATATAAATGTATATATTACTTTTGCTTCAAATCCCCATATACAAATATACAGTTTGGGGTGTATAAATCGTATTTAAATGTATATATATATTGATTTTTCTTGGAAATCTCATATATAATAAACGTATGGTTTTTGACGTATAAATCAGTATATAAATATATATTTATATATATATATTACTTTCAAAATTTCTCATATACAAATTCTTCATACGCTTCAAATTCTCATATACAAATATACATTTTGGGGTGTATAAATCATATAAGCTTGACAAGAGCCTGAAATAATATCTATTATTATTGATTACGGCTTGCTTATAAATAAATAAATAAATAAAAATAAATAAAATAAATAAATAAAATATATAAATGTATATATTGATTTTTCTTGAAAATCTCATATATAAACGTATGGTTTTTGATGTATAAATCAGTATATATATATATATATATATATATATATGTGTATATATATATATATATATATATGTTTATATATATATATATATATATATATTACTTTTGCTTCAAATTCTCATATACAAATATACATTTTGGGGTGTATAAATCATTTATAAATGTATATATTACTTTTGCTTCAATTTCTCATATATGAATGCACATTTTGGGCGGTATAAACAAATATATAAATGTATATATTAATTTTTACAAAAAATCCCGTGTATAAATGTATGTTCTGTGATGTATAAATGAATATAAAAGTATATATAGATTTTCCTTCATAATCTTATACATTTTGTGGTGTATAAATAAATATTTAAATGTATATATTGATTTTTCCGGAAAATCTCGTATATAAATGTACATTTTGGGGTGTATAAATGAATATATAAAGTATATATAAATTTTTCTCCAAAATCTCATATATAAATGTACGTTTTAGGGTGCATAAATCAATATATAAATGTATAAATTGATTTTGCTTCCAAATCTGAAATATAAATGTACGTTTTGTGATCTAGATTAAAATTTGGAAGATCTTGAGTGTTGTAAATAAATGTCGACAAATTTAGAAGAATGTGAAATAAATCTTAACTACTTTGAGAAAAAGAGTGTTTGATATATTTTGTCTGACCCTTTGGTATCAGAAATCGTCTTATCGAATTTAATGATAAGAATAACACTTGACAGCACTTGATAAAGTGATAAAGCGAAAATTTATTATATTTGCGATAATGAAATTTAATTAGAGACTTGAATATTTGATTTTATTCTATTATTATAACGGAGAAATTTAAAATTGAATCCATGGGTAAATTTACGTGCTACAATTGGTAGCGCACTCTATGGAGCGGGGAAACAATTAAAAATGAAGTACGGAAAATGCGGCCGTGTTTTATACATCTATAGTTTTAATATTTACAAAAAATAGTGTATATTTTAGAATGCAAACGAAGAAATTTAAAATCGAATTTATGGGTAAATTTAAATTGATGGCGCACTCTATGGAGTGGGGAAAATAATTAAAAATGAAGTAATAGTATTTGCGATCTATATATACTGATTTTATCCTAGTTTTAATATTTACAAAAAATAATGTATTTTTAAAGTACTCACCACATCGTAACGATGATAAGCAGTGAAGGACAAGCGCCCTTCGGCCCTAGATTCGGCGACTTCATTTTCGGCTTTTTCCTTACGTGCAAATCTAGACAAAAATAAATATTAAATAAAAAAATACTACATGTATATAATTTTTTTTTATAATTTTCAACTCACTCGTCAACGTCGTCAACAAAAACTTGGAAGTCGATTCCTCCAGTTTTCAAAAGTCCTTCGAATTTTGCGATTTGTTCAGGTTTTACAAGGACCCTTGAGGGACTCCAGAAATCGAATTCGCCACTGTTACCTATTGATCTAAGGGCTGCTTCTTGGATTGAATTTGTTACAGTCACGTCGTAGATTTTGTAACTAAAAAAAAAAAATACTTTGTTGAACAGAGGAAAATACTTAAAATATCTTTGTTCTACCAAAATGTGATAATTTATTATTATTTACCCTTTGTATCCTCCATCAGCTGCCACTAATGTGGCCAAAGTGGCCAAAACGACGACCAAGAACTTCATTTCAACCAAAATTGAAATAAATACACCACTAACGATGTATATACATTCGAAATACTCTTTTATACTAATTCTATTATTAATCGCAAACGCGAATCTTTATCTTATCGTCTTTATTGTTAATCCATTGTGTTAATAAAGATTGGATTTTCCAAATCGAAATGTCTGTATATATATATATATATATATATATATATATATTATATATATATATATATATGTGTGTGTGTATGTATATGTATGCCGAAATATGACTATTAATAATCTTATCTAAAAATTGATTACTGATCCGATTAGAAGAGATTAAGATTTTTGGGTTATTTTAGAATTTTGGGTTATTTTAAATTTTCATGGAAAGTGGAACAAATTGTATTGCAATTTCTTTGGTTTGTGCACTCCGATATTTAGATAGTTAGGTATTAAGAAAATTAGATATTTAGATTTTATTAATGTGTAACTGCTACATATTTCTACATAATACCTATTAGGATACCTAAGTTTTTAATTAAATATTTTTTAAAAATACATTTTTGTTAATTAACGAAGCATTTAGTCATTTGCGTATTCATGGTGCAATTCTGCCTCATAAAATGTTATTAAAACTGTAAAAAAAAGTCTATGTATTTGCCGTGCTATCAGGCGTATTTTACGTATAAACAATAAAGAAAGAAGAAAAATATTTAAATTTTTAATTACTTAAATATCTAACTTCAAAATATCTAAATGCCTCATTTTCTAAGAATTGGGATACCTAAATTTTTAAATAGTTATGTATTTAAAATCTTACATCATTGGATATGTACCTACATTTTTAATTAAATAAATATCTAAATTTGTGAATATTAGATTATTTAAATTTTGATATATCTAAATACTCCAATTTCTAAATTATAGGGTATCTAAATTTCTAAATAATTAATAATCTAAAATTATAAATATTTAAATCTCTTTGTTTTTAATATTAGTATACATGAGTTTCTAAATAATTAAATATTTAGAGTTTTACTTTAGAAGATATATAAATTTTTAATTATCTATATTCCTCAATTTCTAAGAATTGGGATACCAAAAGTTTAAAAAAATTAAGTATTTAAAATCTTACATCATTGGATATCTAAATTTTTAATTATTTAAATTTCTAAATCTATGAATATTAGGTTATCTAAATTCTAATATATCTAAATGCCTCAATTTCTAAATTATAGGGTACCTAAATTTGTAAATAATTGAAAATCTAAAATTATAAATATTTATATCTCTGTATTTTTAATATGAGGATACATGAGTTTATAAATAATTAAATATTTAGAATTTTACATTAAAAGATATTTAAATTTTTAATTATTTAAATATCTTGATTTCTAATAAGAGGATAACTTAATTTGTTAATATGTAAAAACATAAATACCTAATTATTAGTATACCTAAATTATAAAATATTTAAAAAACTTCAATTTCTGAATGTAATTTCTAAATTTCTAAATATTTCTAAATTTCTAAATATTTGTATACCTAAATTTATAAATACCTAAATTTCTGAATATTTTGAAATCTAAACCAGTACAGTCCTCTTTCTTCTTTGCTCGTCAGTAGAGTTCCTTGTCCTTTTTTTAGATTAAAATTTAATTTGCTCTTCAGTAGAGTTCTTTTTTTCTTTGCTCGTCAGTAGAGTCTCTTGTTCATTTTTTAGATTAAAATTCAATTTGGTCGTCAGAAGAGTCCTTTTTTTCTTTGCTCATCAGTAGAGTTCATTTTTTAGATTAAAATTTAATTTGTTCGTCAGTAGAGTCCTTTTTTATTCTATATCTAATTTGAGATTCAGTTAGTTCTTCTCAATATTTATATTTATATAATTATATTTATATTTATATTTATATTTATATTTATATTTATAATTTATATTTATATTTATATTTATATTTATATTTATATTTATATTTATATTTATATTTATATTTATATTTATATTTATATTTATATTTATATTTATATTTATATTTATATTTATATTTATATTTATATTTATTTATATTTATATTTATATTTATATTCATATTTATTATTTATATTCTATTTAATTATTTATATTATATTTATATTATATTTATATTTATATATTTATATTTATATTTATATTTATATTTATATTTATATTTATATTTATATTTATATTTACATTTATATTTATATATTTACATTTATATTTATATTTATATTTTATTTTTTGGCACTTAAAAATATTTGGCAAGTACAATGCATTTAAAAAATTAGGTAATTATCAATATGTTTAATAGGATTATCCATTATCGATTAATCGAATATCGAAAACGTCACCAATGCCGAATGATTCGTGTATTTGCACTTTGGAATTTTTAAGTCGATATCAAAATCTAAAAAAAAAATTAGCTCTTATCTCAATACTAGGAGGAAACTCATTTTTTGTTTATATTATAATTCTTTGCAATTTTAATTTATTATTTTTTAATTATCAATTTTTAATTATCAAAATATTTTGAATTGGAACATTATGATTTATTTAATTTAAGAGAAATAAAAGAAAATAGTATTTTGTTTAAAAAAAAAACGAGACAAATTTTAAATCTTGAATTGGTTAAAAATGATCATACTTAAATTTTTTTTTAAATTTTAAAAATAATGATTTAATTACTTTTTACTTAAATTAATTAAAATTATAAATATACTGAAAATTAACCATTAAAATTTAAGAGACTGATAAATATTAATTTGTCTGCACTAAATACAATTATTTGTATTTTTTTACTAATTGAAGTAATATCAACAATATTATTATTAATAATATAGATAGCACTTGAGGTTTGTGTTAAATCATTACGATAGGGTTTGGATTTTTATAACATCAAAAAAAAAATTATAACTATTATTTATTATTTATAACTTATATGCAATTTACTTCCAAAACTTGCACTTGTATTACTTTGCCTAGGCCTAGCATTTTTTCCTTTCATTTTATATGCTATCTTTTTTTCTTGCAATTTTATCTAAATATTTTTGTAATTTTGGATTAAAAATTCAAAAAATCACCCAGGCTAAGCACAGTCTAAGCGCCACTCTGGTACAAATGTTTACCCAAATGCGTTTAGACTGTTTATGTAATCGAGCCCTTTTCCAATTTTGCGAAAACTATTGAAAAATGTGAAAATTCCGCCAAGCTAAGCACAGTATAAGTGAAAAAGTCTAACAGAATTATTTGCAAATGCGTTTAGACTGTGACTATACGGGAGCACTTTTTCAATTTTGTGCAGATTTGGCAACTATTTTTTTGTAATTGAATTCGAAATGAAATGACGATTGTCAATGTTCTAGAGATAAATTGATAGATTTATGATTTACATTTGATTTGCTCAGATATAATAACAAGATAGCAAAAATAATGTACAGTATTTGCAATAATATATTTGAAAACGTTTAAAATTTCTCGAATATTTCATTACGGTACGGGAAGTTCCAGCAATTTGCCTTAAGGCACGATGCCATACACCACTAGTTTATTTTTTAATGTAAAATAATTATAATATAAATAAATAACATACAATATTTTGAGAAAATATTCTTGAAAATATATTTTATATTATTAAATCACTGCATGATAGTGCACAACCCTGTTTAAATAATCAAGAGAATTGTTTTTACAAATACAAGTATATAAATAGGAGATAATAAATATAGTTTAATTATCTCTTAATTTGTTTCAATCAAATCAAATTGTCATTTGCAAAAGATAAGTTCTTGGACAAAATGTTGTGTCGTGATAAATCTTTATTTGCAATTTTGACTATTTTTTTGGTTTTCTACGAAATCCACGGAAGGTAAAAATAATAATAGTAATTTGTTTTTTATTGAAAAATTGATATATGTAATAATAAAATAAACGACAGTAATAGAAAAGTTCTAAATTATATTCTAATTAATAAATTTTACAATATTTTTCTCTATTATTTAATTTTACTTTAATAATTATGTTACTACACTTATTTTTTATCTTTTTTTTCAGATCAATATCTGAAAATAATGGTGACCCAAATTCGGGATTTAATCTTACCACTTACCACAGGTACAATAAGGTAAGTATAGATAAATTAAATAATTTTTATTTTAATATTGTAAAAATGTTTATTTTTTGAATAGATTCAAAGTTATATGAACTTTTGGCAAATGAGTATCCTGATTTGGTGGAAGTACAAAATTTTGGTAAAAGCTTCGAAGGCAGAAATTTAACTATGGTTTATATTTCTACTGATAGGAAAGGTAAAAAGATATATATATATAATATATATATATATATATATATATATATATATATATATATATTACTGTAAAATTGATGTTTCTTCAGAATTATTGCTAAATTTCAGAACTTTTTTTAGTATTCGAAATCTAATAAGAAAGACCTTTCAAATGATACCCCACATGCCAAAAAAGTACCATCAAATTTTTTGAAGTAAAACTTCTTTAGGCTCCTTTGCTACAAATACGAAAAAAGTGAATTTTTTGTGAACACAAACCACATGAAAAGTAAAAAAAATCACAATTTTCAATCATTAATAAAAATAAATAAATTTTAACATTCTAAGATTTTTAGCAATAAATTATGATAATGTATATAATGTTCTTATTACTATACTAGCAAACCCGACGAACTCCGTTTCGCCACCAGACGGTTTCGTGAGAAAGATAAAGAAATTTTCTGTTTGTTTTATATTTGAAAAGGAAAAATTTGATTTTATTACAGTAATGAATTTATTTCGATTACAAAAATGAAGTGTTTTTTAACTGAACTTCTCTAAGTAAATGAAAGTGAATCCGCCAATTATCCGTTTCATTGAAGTGCTCTTTGGTAAACCACATTTTTTGTTTTTTGGTCTGACGTTAACACAAACAAGGCGGATGGTTTTTCAACTCGTGAACAGGCAACGTATAACTGCCCATGTGAAAAACAATAATTTTCTAAATAATATATTTGAAATTTATCCCGCAAACACTAAGCTATTGGCCTTGAGACTTGTTATTGCTAACGCAAGGAAATTGCAATTGTTTGAAGTCAAACGGAAGACCAGTCGGAATCATTGGTATGTCACCAAACCGCCAGCAATTTTTGATTGAATGGTAAAATTCAGTGCGCGTACATTTATTTATTTTATTTATTTATTTATTTCAAATATATAGCCCACAGATTTCTTCCAAGAGGACTCAAAAATACAATTATTTTTCATAATGAATAACAATTGAAATATATACAAAATTACAATATATAGTTAGTAACATAAAATTACATATAATGCAAAATGTAACAATATTATTTATAAACAGAATAAGATAAAATAATGAGATATTTGAAAAGAAAATAAAAAGGTTAACTTGTGCAGATGGAGATTATTTGACTAGGTGAAGTATTGTGAATATCTATTTCATTATTAATTGAGTTAAAGCTGGAGGACATAAGTAAAATAGGCGAATTTAAGAGAGAATTAGATTTAGGAGTAGGATAATTGAAAAATAATTGTTAACATTAAAGGATAGTTGGTTAAGAATAAGAGGACAGTCTATAGAATTATTTCAAAGTTTAAATAGAACATAATTGTACAGATAAATCGACGTGAGGCAAGAAAAGGAATACCAATTCTTTTAGTAAAGTGTTGTGGTCAAAAGCCACGTTCAGGGTAATTTTATATGTTTTATAATAAAGATATTTCAGAAATTTTCGCTGAACTTCTCTATCGCATCAGAGTACTTGATTTGATGAGGATACCAAATAATCGAACCATATTCTAATTTTGAACGTACAATAGAATAGTACATGGAAAGAAGTGCATTGTTAGAATTGAATTGTTTACAATTTCTCAGTATCAAACCTGAAGATTTATGTGCTCTATTACAAATATCAGTTACATGATCCGTGAAAAACAAACCAGAATCAAATAGAACTCCTAAATCTGAAATTTTATTACATCTATCAATGCCGGTGTTAGAAATTTTATAATCAAAATGTATTGGAACGCGCTTATGTGAAAAACTAAAAATCTTGCACTTTGATATACTTAAATGCAATTTGTTATAGACACACCAAGAGTGGAAAGAGTCAAGTTGAGACTGTAATAATAAGCAGTCATCAATAGAATTTATTTTGAGATATAGTTTGAGATCATCTGCAAATAATAAATGTGGACAGCTAATAATATCAGATATGTCATTAATAAAAATAATAAATAGTAGTGGGCCAAGAATGGATCCCTGAGGAACATCATTATTCTTTGCGGCAAGAATTGCTCGTTGACTTAACCAAGCATAATTCTGATAATTCTCACTAATGTCATTACTCGAATTTTTAATTACGGTGCGTGAAGTTTCAGCAATTTGCATTAAGGCACAATTGCCATGCACACTAATTTTCATTAGCTATAAACCTTGCGGTGCAGGAGACCTTTTCAACGCATACAAATTGTCGAAATCGGTTCGTGCGTTTCTGGAGTTAAATTCGTCAGGAAGGAACACACCGACTTATTTATATATATATATATATATATATATATAATATATATATATATGTAGATAATCTATTTGAAATTATTTAAAACAATTATTGATTCCATTGCTAATTCGTTCCGGATCTTTCTCTTTTTTATCAATAATTTGTTTCTTTTTTGCCAGCCATAGGCCTGTGGTTTTATTAGACGCAGGAATCCACGCCAGAGAATGGATTGCGCCAAGTATGTCCTTGTACATTTTGAATCTCCTAGTAGAGCACCACCAGGACAATAAAGAACTGTTGCAAAAGTTCGACTGGATAATCATACCTGTACTAAACCCTGATGGATACGAATACTCGCACGTTGGAGTAAGTAGTAATAATACACAATTCAGTAACATTAATGTGTAATCTGTAATATTCAATTATCTATTACCCAGGATCGTCTCTGGCGCAAAACAAGGAGCACCCTTACAAGCTCTCCAGATTGCATAGGAGTAGACGCCAATCGCAATTTTAGGTTTCATTGGAAAGAAGACGATAGTCATGCCAAACCTTGCGATGAGGACTATCCAGGAGACCAGGCCTTTTCCGAACCAGAAACCAGGGCTTTGAGAGACCTTATGAAGGCACATAATGTACAACTGTATTTAACTTTGCACAGTTTTGGAAACTTCATCCTGTACCCTTACGGGTACACTTACGAAGCACCCGAAGGCTGGTGGGATTTGCAGGATATTGCTTTTGAGGTGCTGGTGCTATAATGTGAGATAAAGGATTTATTTTATACATACTTTATTATTATTAACTTCCCGTAGGGTAGTTCTAGTAATGGGCCAAAAACCGAAAATGAACATTTTTGCATGAAGGTGTCTGAACATTTTACTGGCATACATGGATGTGTGTGTGTAAAAAACCTTCTGCTTGTATTGACAAAACAATTGCTTTTGAGGATAAAAAATTTTAACATCTTTTTTTATTTTGCATAAAATATTTTTCTAATTTTTTGTAATTTTGGATTGAAAATTTAAAAAATCACCCAGGCTAAGCACAGTCTAAACGCCACTCTGGTATAAATGTTTACCCAAGTGCGTTTAGACTGTTAATGTACTGGTGCACTTTTCCAATTTCGTGAGAAAACTATTGAAAAATGTGAAATTGCCGCCAAGCTAAGCACAGTACAAGTGAAAATGTCGCACAGAATTATTTGCAAATGCGTTTAGACTGTTACTATACGGGAGCACTTTTTCAATTTTGTGTAAATTAGTCAACAATTTTTTTTTAACTTTCCGTAGAGTAAGTTATAGTAATGGGCCGAAAATCGAAAATGAAAATTTATGCATTTCTCGACGTTTTGAAGGTTTCTGAACATTTTTAACTAGGCATACCTCAAAAACCAAGTGGATGTGTGATTGTGTGTGTTTTGTATGTCCGCATTTTTAGTATTAAAAAAGGGACTCTACTGACGAGCAGATTTAATCTAGAATTAAAAAAGGGACTCTACTGACAAGCAAACTTATTTACGAAAAAATAAGACTTTACTGACGAGAAAACTTACTTATGAAAATAAAATTGGACTCTACTGTTGAGAAAAATGATTTATAAAAATAAAATTAGACTCTACTGACGCGCAACTTTTCACGAAGATAAAATAGGACTCTACTAACAAGCAAA